AAACTCACGAAAAATTCCTCGTTCTTACTTCGCTTAAAAACTGCACCAGTGCAATCGATGCCTCATTTTCGAACGAATGGTTATACATCGTCACTGTGCAGCGATCACCGATCTGTGTCAAAAACCCTCACAACACATGCACGTAGAAACCGTACGAGCCGCCATGGTTGTATTTTAAAAGGGTGACACGTTGGGCAAAGACGGAGCGCAACTGGAGCAAACACTTAAAAACGATGTTGCAGTGCACATAAGCCAAAGTACGGTAACATTTGTAATCAAAATCCTACGGAGCGTTTCATGAACTCTTCATAGTTCACAGAAAAGAAAAATAAAAAACCAGTGATAACAGTGACATCCTAAAAGCAATGGCCGTCTTACTGTGCCGTCTGCTTGTCCTGCTTACAAATCCAATAGTTCACCCAACGGCAGATTGATGGCTCGGTAAGTCGGCGAAGTCAAACCTTGCCTTAAACAAGATCCAACGTATGCTGACCATAATAAAAAAACTAACCAGCTGCGACGAATTCCTCGGCTTCAGCGGGACGCTTGTCGCAAACATGAAAGAATTTTCCATGCCCAGATCGCGACAGGTCTCTCCAATTCGAGTTTGCGTCGACGTCATATGAGTGATTATTGCCTTCCTCGTTTTGAGATTACTTCCAAATCCGCTACAAAAAACACGCAAAGAAACGAGATTCTCCACCACCGTTTTTAATAGACACAATGAGCAAAGCTACCATCAGCCTCTGAAATACGAATTCCGCGCCCCTAATGTACTCTCAGTTCCCTTAAACAACTTCTAATAAAACTGCGGCTACGTGGAGAGAGCCTGATGACACGAATAATTACCATCAAATGCTAAAACATCATGTTGAAGTTGTTCTTTTCCGAACGGCGTTTTCAGAGAAGTTAAGGGTGTGCGTCTAAAATGCGGCGTTTCAGCTTTTCCACAAAACTTCCGGCCGACATCGACGAATCATCACGCGAAGCCAATGGATTCACGGATTGCTGCACAAAATCGAGGCATTTGCCCAAGTTTTCAGGGTCGGTTTTGTTCTTGTCTTTCAGCGGCTGTCGTTCACCTGGAAAACACAAGTGAAAAAAGGATGCAGCACTGCTCTTTATGTCCTCAGTGCGGGGCAGTGTGCCTGCCAGCATGAAGATTCGCATAAAAAGTGTCTAATAGTGCTTTAAACTGGGTTCTAGAAGGAGCGTGAACAAACGCTGGAGGAAGGTCATTCCACGCAGCTACTACCCGAAATGAGAAAAAATTTTGTCTGAGGAATGTGTGCGCTCTGAACTTGAAAATCTTCTCACCATGTCTCCGCCGTGTGCTTGCTGGGTCAACGGTGGAAAACCTGTTTGCCAAGCTTTGTTTAAACAGGGCATAAGTAAGAATGAGGTATCCTCGGAACCGACGGTACTCCAGTGGAAAGAGATCAAGCATCGCGAGACGCGTTCCGTAGTCCACGGATTTGAGACCGACAACCATTCTCGTAGCGGCTCGCTGGACAGACTCAATGAGTAGACAACTTGGTTGACTTACTCCAAGAGCTGTCTGATGTAGGCCTCATAGAGTATTTGGAAGTCCATACGAGTGATGCGGGAGAAGATGCGTCGGATCAACCGTAAAATGGCGAGTGCCTTCTGGGCCGTTTTCTCATGGTGCAGTAAGAGGGACAAATTTGGGGAGACTAAGATACCCAAATTTTTTTGGCATCTATCCTCGTGATGTTTTCTGGTCCCTTTTCACCATGCATAACAAAGGCATTCGCTGAATCCCCTCCAAACGACACATGGACGCACTTTTCATCATTCAGAGGAAGGTGCCAGTCCAACGACCACTGCTTGGCAGCGTCTACGTCCATTTGGAGGGCACTGGCATTGGAACTCCAGGATTTCAAGTCGTCCGCAAAAAGCAAACATGGACTCGCAAGAACGTCTGGGAGGTCGTTGACGTAGATCAGAAACAGGAGTGGTCCCAAGACGGAGCCTTGAGGAACTCCAATGGAGACCGGCGCTGGAGAGGAATAGGTCGAGCCTATTCTCACTCGGAATGATCTGTCTGATAGGAACGCCTTGATCCAGCGAAGGATTTTCCCTTCAATCCCGTAAGACTCGAGTTTGTGGAGCAGCAGAACGTATGGGACCTTGTCAAATGCTTATGAGAAGTTGAGAAATACGGCATCCAATATGAGTCCTTCGTCCTCGTTTCGGGTTAAGCTGTCCGTAAACACGAGCGTGTTTGTTACGAAAGAACGGTTTGAGAGAAATCCGTGTTGAGCTGGAGATATCAGATTGCTGGAAGTAAGGTGATCTAGGATGGCTCGCTTCAGAATGCGTTCCATCACCTTGCACGGCACGCTAGTGAGGCTTATAGGCCTATAGCTGCCAGGCGATAGTCGGTCACCAGTTTTGTATATTGGCGTGACAATCGCTTCCTTCCAAGCAGGGGGAAGGCGGCCTTCGTCAAGCGACTGACGAAACACCAAGTGTAAATGGTTTGCCAGTGTGGAGGACGTTTCTTTCAGGATCCTCGGATGGACCTCGTCGGGTCCCAATGCGCAGAATGGGTTGATCTTGTCCAAGAGTTGACGAATGTCCTCCACCGTGAAGACCAAGTCGGTTAGAGGCTGTTCGTAGTTTCTCCTTGACAAGAGTGGATGTGACGAGGACGCTGGGGTTGAGTATAGACATGCATAGTGTTCTCTGTAAACCCCAGTTACCACTGTTGGGTCACTCGTAGGTTCTGTGTTCCTGTCCTCCGAAGAGAACCGAGATGACTTGTTTCTGCGGCGATGTTTCATGTATTTGAACTGTACGTTTTTGTTTTTCCGAGCGAGGTCCAGGATGGTGTTTTGTTTTCGTATATTCGATTGACGGATTTCTGATTTACTGCGGTTCCGTATTTTGCGATATGCCAGCTCATTTTCTGTATCATCTGCGGTCGGATTTTGAAAGAAGTTGGGCCCTTTTTTCCGGAAGCCACCGAATCCTTTCAGGCAGACTGTGGCTCATCCGACTGCGTGCCGGTTATTTTTGGACGAACGTCGCTTCAGCCTCGTGAACTTTCTGGACAATGGTCCCATATAATTCTTCTGGTCGGCCGGTGCAGGTCGTGTGGTCTGCTCGGTAGAAATCCGGATGGAATCCTGTCCAGAGAAGAATCATCGATGGGGGCTGCCAGAAATTCCTATTAGAATCAGATGACAGAGCCGCCGCCCCTTGAGTTCTTTCAGTCAGAACTGTGAGTGTATTATAGCCGGGGACTGAAACGGCCGCGCTTGGACCTCCAATTATGAGCCATGATTCAGTCACAAAAATCGGACTTGGTCTGGAAAGATGCTAATAGCTCAGAGATTATAGACTTTTGGCAGTGACGAGCGGCCATTAAGCAGCATTATTGACAAGTTCCTTTGCGAGCAACCACTACAAAGTAGGACGTTACTAATCTCTCTCATGGTGGAGACTGGTAATAGGGAGAACTTAGTAAGTGGAGGTGGGTTCACTGGGCGTGTAATCGGATTCCGAGCAGGAGTATTCAGTGCTGGTGGTGGCTGGATAAATTGTTGATGAAATAAGTCTGAGCCCACGGCACAAGGTTGAGTGTCAGTTTCAGTATGGGGTTTTGAATGTCACTCACTGGGAGGGGGACCTGCGGTTGGATGAAGAGCTATCGGCCGTGTCATGCGCGAATGGTGGTGTGGATGGGGATATTTTGCAGAAAGGCGTGTGGCTTTGGGGGATGGGCGGCAGCCGAAAATTATGTTCAGACGGGCCGAAAGAGAGATGGTAGGGTGATGAATGTGGATGAGAATTAGAGCTTGCCAGCGGGTTTTGTGGACAAGAGGTTCTCCAAGCGAGTGGTGAGTAAAGTTTAATGAGTTTTAATGTCGTACGGGTGGAACTGAACGTGGCTTCGAGGAAGGCGGTGGTAGTGGTGGTGTAGGTGACTGTCGAAAAGGGATCTAAGGCGAATGATATGCGGGTAACCAGGGGGACGGAGCTGGATAGGGACTGAGATTGGGTGAAGGCGTCTCTGGGTTTGACACCCTGCCAAGGGCCAAATTTGCATGATAGGTGGACCACTAGCGTATTCACGTACCATGCAGGGGTGTGGCTGAGTTTGTTGAATCCATGAATCCGTGAATCCGTAGAAGTTGGGCGAACAGTGAGAATTCTGGGGGTTAGTGCGGGAGAGAGCGTTATGATACCACACTGTGACATAATTTTCGTCTTTGAATCTCATTACTGTTGGTCAACGCGAGGATGGTTTAGATTTTTGGGTTGATCGAAACGCGCATACGGAGTCAGGCACATAATATGCAGTCAGGAGGGTCCCGTCTTCCTCAAAGCGGTCGCTAGACCTCGAATCCCCATCAGCTATCCTCCCGGCATCTTCAAAAAAGCGGTTTAGATCCGGAAGATCCAGCTCCCAAACCCTTCACCTTTCGAGGCCAGCAAAGACAGTACTCGAAGCTACCTCAGATTGTTCAGTTGTACTATCTGACTTTGCTTTGCTTTCTCAACCGGCAACACATTTTAACCGCTACCAGTAGGTTCCGAGGTCCTGAATGACTCGGAGAATCTCGTAACAGCACCGGATGGGATGGAAAACGAAATGTCCTCCCTCCGAACCATACAGTCAATTGCATGCTTTCTGGATCCTGACGCAACATGCAATTCAATGAACTTACAGAAGCGTCACTTCATATTGACGCGATTGCTTCTGAGCTTTATCAACGAATCGAATGCCGGTATAAAGTCCTAACATTCAATGCGCCTGATCGGTTCTGCTTGAGCATGCCAAAACTGCTACCTGACTGCATGTGGCATGCAGGACACCATATGCAGAGCTCGGTGGTTCCGGAGGTCGGAAGCGTTCATGTGATGCTCGATAATAATGCAATTCCGGGATGGAAAAAATGCCGCGCAGCTCAGATTCTCCTCTGCTCTACTGAAAATTTCATACCTTAAAAATTGTGGCTGTCCGTACTAGAATGCAAGAACGGCTTACCAAAAATTTACCTAAACCTGTTGCTCCGCCAACCACCAGTAAGTGAGCCGTCTTGTGTCAAAACGCCACACAACGCTGCCTGTTGAAACCAGGTCCTGCACCCCGCGCTCATAACCATGAGCCTTCCACTTCTATTTCTGGGCACCCACAAATGCTGTCTGTGACATCCACCATGCCAAAAAGATCGACTGCTTATTTAAGAGATACGGTAACTAATCAGCTCACACATGAGGCTGTAGTCGAGGATGGTAGCACAGGTTCTTTCTCAAGACCTCCTGACCTAACGACACTTCTTGCCTCCCCACCAAAGCGCTTCCTTGGACTCAATCACCTACTGTCCAAGCCTCCCACCGTAACCCCTTCTCCTGCACCACTTCCCGAGCTTCTTCTTTTCGCCCTTCTTCTACACACCTGCCCGAACCAATACTCCCTCATAAGATAATCCGTAGCCCATCTAACCGTGCAACCCATTTCTTTGACAGGATCTCTAAACCGCAAATACCGTTACGTAATCATAGCCCCTGTCAAGTTCCGCCCCTCAAGAGACCCGCGTATCATAAGCCTGGGATCCCTTTTCGGCAACTACCTACCACACCACAGCCTCCGCCCCCTCCAAAGCCACGACCTTTAGTTGTATCTCGGCTTACTATTCCAAACCCTCTTCAACTACAACGAACACAGAAGATTTCTGCTCAACATCATCGGAACCCACTCCTTTCAGAGGGTTTGAATTTACCACTAACATCCTCAGTGTACCCTGCCACCTCCCCTTAACTTGAATCCCTTACCAAGTATAAAATCAACCTCGTTACAGACTCCGCAACTCTTGCAACCTCTTAGTGTCTCCCCCAGCTCGTACGAACCTACGTCAATACTTCCTCCTGGTTTATTACGCTCGCATCTGGAACAGTCTTCCCGACCAGCTGCGAAGCATCACGCATCATTATGCTT